AAAAGTAGTAGTTAGTGATAAGTTGGCCGACGCGTTTCGAATGCGTTCTGCATCCATTATCAAGGCTGAATGTTGTGTGAATTGTGATTACTGTTGGTGGATATTTATAGGTATGGGTAAGCAGGCTAACCACCTTAAGAGCAGAGCACTTAATTATAAACCTTTCGCACACAAACTTTGTACAATTCAAGGTAGACACGTACCAATACCTTACAGAAAAAACAAACTGGATATTTACAGCGAAGAAAGCAATAAAGTCACGTTAAGTGTTTTCTACATTAAACGTCGGAAGGTAATATGGGTTGCTTAATAAGACTTTTTTTTATTGTTTTCTTTATTGAAAATTTCCTGTTTTGTCTGTAAGGTATTGAGATGTTGAATTTTACAAAGTTTATATACGAAATGTTTGAATTTAAGCACATTAATCCACGTTAATCGTTTTGCTTGGAAAGTTACATGGGTGGCTTAACGTGACTTTTTTATTGTTTTTTTACTGCAATTGTACAGTTTTTCTGTTAGGTAGTGGTATGTGCCTACCTTGAATTGTGCAAAGTTTGTGTGCGAAAGGTTTGAATTTAAACACATTATTAAGCGACATTAAGTGTTTTCTACATAAGCGTTTTAGATTGTTTCGCGACTCGAGCTGGCTGCTCTGTTGTGAAGGTGAAATTAAATTTAACTGTTTTCACTAGTACATCTTTTATATTGAATTATATGTGTAAATGAATATTTTAAAACGATATGTGGTCTGGATAATGAATTATATCATGAACGGCCGTTTCTAGCAATGGCCATTTGTTATCTGGTTAGTGAATTATACTAGAAACGACAATTGCTGGTGATGTCTGTGATCTGGATAGTGAATTATATCAGAATTGGCCATTTTTGATGATGTCTGTTAGTGGTTTCTTTTGCTTTCGTAATATCGTTTTCTAGCTGGTGTTGTGCTGAATAAATAGATGACGTCTGAAAACCGTACTTACGTTATGCTCATGGGAAGAGCTACCGACATTGGCTTCGGGTTACCAGATTGCCACTGGATGATTATGTCATGTATTAAAATAATACTTTGGTTAATATGTAATGTTCAGTTAGATACGTGTCTAAGATTATGTTGTTGTTGCTTCAAAGCAAAGCTGTTGTGTAATAGGCTATCTGCATTCTGTCCACCCCGGGGGACCGAAAACCCGGATTTTAGCGTTGTAAAATTAATTCTGACACTATGCACGAAACATTTATTTTTATATTTAATTATGTGTATTAACTTAAAATACACACGAGCACTATGCTTGAGATAAATAATTTGGCTTGAATACTGAGATGTAGATATATGTATAGTAAAGCTTACATTAATTCCGATAGGTTAGACACATTGAGAGAAAAATATATGTTCTGTGCTTACATGACTTTGGTGAAGAATGTGCTTGGTTACTTCTAAATTGAAATGCTCATAAACTCATGCTTTTTTTTTTCACTGAAAAAAGACCTAATTTGCAAAAATTATCTAAACAACACCACATGAGAAACATGTGTGTGTGTTTTCATTGTTGTTGATAAAGGAATATTTTCAGTTCTGGAAACTGAAGTATTTGTAGATTTTGTGACTTAATTTTTATAAAGTGAAATCACGATTTCTGGCTCACTAATAATTAGAGAATACATAGTTCGTTTCTCATAGTTTAATAGTTTTGATATAGAAATAAATTTTATTTGTAAAACTGAACTGTTTCTGAACTTTTGAACACATTACTGAATGATATTATTTCTGAACAAGGTAGTTGTTTCACATAAATGTTATGTTAATTACATCTAGTTTTGACATTATTACTGCCCCCTATTGGCTCAGCGGTATATCTGCAGATTTACACCGCTATAAACCGGGTTTCGATACCCGTGGTGGGCAAAGCACAGATAGCCCATTGTGTAGCTTAATTACAAACATACATTATTACTTAGTTTCTATGTGGACTACGTGAACATAACTCGGGATTTATTTGGAAATTAGAAATGATTTTGGCAATTTATTCAGCTTATGTTTAACTTCTGATAGTAAGCAAGGTGTTATGAATAAACAAGTTACAAAGCTTGTTTGTTATGGATTTCGCGCAAAGCTACACGAGGGCTATCTGCGCTAGGCGTCCCTAATTTAGCAGTGTAAGACTAGAGGGAAGGCAGCTAGTCATCACCACCCACCGCCAACTCCTGGGCTACTCTTTTACCAACGAATAGTGGGATTGACTGTCACATTATAACGCCCCCATGTATGAAAGGGCGAGCATGTTTAGTGTGACGGGGATTCGAACCTGCGACCCGCAGATTGCGAGTCGAGCACCCTAACCACCTGGCCATGCCGGGCCAGTTACAAAGCCTTGAAGGTTAGAAGCGTTGGTCACATTGTTCCTCTAATGTTTGATTCATCATAGCGAAGAATGATATTGTGATCCTTCTGTAATATCCAATCATTCTTCTTCAAGTTACTTTTTGAATTTATGCTGTCAGGAGGTAGAACTCGTGTACATAAAATGGGTTAAATCATCTAAAGCTAAATGCCGTAAAACTTGTATATTTGAAACAATTGCATATATTTAAAATATATTACAATACATATGGTAAAAATGATATGAAATAGGTGTCCTTAAAAGCTAATATACATGCATACAAATGAATATATATGTAATAGAACGTGAGAAGATTTACTTGTGGTTACTGAAATTATCATGTCAAAATGTAAACAAGGGTAAGAAAAATGAGGAAACCAAAAGGTAAAATGAAAATATAGAGGACGTGTAATTAAATATGTATGGAGAGGGCTGAGTTATAGTACAACAGTTTTGGAAATCAGCAAGTAATGTAACAACCACAGCGAATATAAAGTCGTGGTGGAATGGAATGTATCAGAAATACATTTTGACATTGTTTGATATTTCATAGAGAGTGTAGTACCAAAAATTCATTGCTTTTGGGAACGGTGTATGACAGCTTTTGCAACACAAAAAATATCCATACATTCAGATGATAATGATGTGTTCAGATCTAGGATTTAGATATTCAATATGGAGATTTATTTTGTATTTTGTGGCATTGGTAAACAAAGGTGTATGGATCAAGTTAGGACATCAGGACCATACAGAGAGAAGACTGCAAAAAGCTGTTTCCCAGCCATTGTAAGTAAAATGTGGTGTCTAGTAACAACTGAGAATCCACAAACACAAAGGCCAGTAGCAAAACTGTCAAAGTGTCCAAGTCAAAAGTTTATAAAATTACCGAGAAGGGTCTGTTTGGAAAAGTGGTATAATTCACCTGTACACAATCTGCTTCCACAATATATCTGTTCAACTGTCGCATACCTCAGACATCTAGAGAATAAAACGAGCATTCATGCTATTACATAAAAAACAATAC